AGACACCTACAGGATCATACTAGAAGACCTTCTGTTCTTACTACACGGATATGAATCTGCGTTTTAACCTTCTGTTACAGGTTACGTAATATACTGGTTGGTCTTGTGCTGAAGGATACTAGATTTTACTCGATCAACAGCGAAAACTGTTTACTATATTTTTACAGAGCTAGAAGCTGAAAGTTTTAGGCAGATTAAAAATCTGTGAAATAATGTCGCATTCTTTTGTAGGATCGAGAAAACATTGTTAATTACTGTTAATAGTTTTTTTATCGAGGAGTTATTATTTTGTTTACATTGACATTCAAACTTTAATTTTGAAATTTTCAGTAAACGTACGTCTGGGTTGCCCATATAATTTGGTTGCATGAAGTAACCTTTAAAAAGACGAAGACCTAGCTAAACCACACCTAAAATTCATTTAGTTACCACTCTTAGCTTTCGAAAATATTCTTTTTAGGTTTATGAAAACAGGAATTTCATATGAACTCATCTTCTTAAAATAAGAACACTTACAGCACTTTGGTGAGAGAAAAAGAAACAGTACAGCTTACAATCAACCTATTATAATATCATTGTTCTTGATTTGATTATCTGCACTTTGAGTATCTGTGAACGTCCCAACACGCTCTTTGGAGTGCTAAGCAATCTCGTTAAAACGATTACTCACGAATAATTCGTTATTTTTATTGCACCAAGCAACTCGGATGCTTTTGATAGATCTGATTAGCTAACGCTACGACAGTACTTTAACTTCAAGATCGCCTTTTAATGTGATATGATTTTAAGACCGTGGTTAACAATATGCTTCAAAGTATTTGTTTCAATAATCTGAGGCTATGTTACACCTGTAAAAATCATTCTAAGTAATATCAGTCAGTCAGCAACAACGTAGAACTTTGTACGTAAGTACATTAGCACAGTGATGCAATTGTCGATTCAAATCTCATAGTGGTAGAAGTGGTAAGATTATAAGCAGTAATCGGAAACATTAGGGTTTGAAGATGCTGTTCAAAAAGTGTAATCCAGCGAAGTCAACTTGGAAAGAGAGAAAAGAAAGGGACATGAAGAATTCAGAAGATTAGAATTCGGGAGAACACGAAAAGTGGATGTACCTGCGCCATCGCAAACGATTTTGAGGCATTTCATTCAAGGTCTCTAACCATCGGTTGCTATTGTCTCGCGGATCTTAACTAGGTAGTCAACACCTACCAACAAGGCTCAGTCCACTTGTCAGTGACTTCACGGATTTATGCCATGTTTTGGTCTGGTTACCCCTAGCTTTCTTCCAACCTACTCCCACACTATAAACTAATATGAGTAGTAACGACTTTGATCAAACCAACTAATATTTTCAGGTCATGCAATACATCAGGCCAGGCTTTGTCGCGGTTTATCAGTTGAAGCTTTATGTTGTTAGTAAGTGTTAACGATGGCAAAACATGACTTTTTACTAACTCACTAGACTTAAACGAGAATCGGAAATTTTATTTTGAAGTGGAGTGTTTCAACGCGTCCTTATTTATCGCAACTCTGTTTTCTGAGGGAGGCTCCATTTGGAAAATCTTAGGATGTTATCATAGCTTATCCCACTTGTATTATTTTTGAGTACTGTCTACAACATGTTGGCCGTTGCTGCTACCTTGATGTGATGGTCGGACTTGCCTATCATAGTGAACCAATCCAGCTACACTGGCTGGAACAATCGTTCCTCAAGGTCTTACCATGCCAGACAGCTTGTTTGAAGAACAGCAAACCAAAGGTCCGAGGGCGAAGTCGTACTTCAGAATGTACGGAGGTGTGACGGTAGTCAGGTGTTTCCCTCAGACAACCAGCATAAGAACGATGCTGCTTTCCCACAAGGAGGGATGGGGTTAAAAATAGTTGACCCTAAAAATACACACCTCGCCTTATCTCACGGACATCCGTCTCCGGCGATAAGGTATCAACAAGTACGGAACTAACACGAAAATTACTCACAAAATGTAAGACTGGCCTCAAGCAGTTGGCCCTTAAACACTGCGGTCACGCTCCCAGGTTACTAAGACCACCTTTAGTCCAATTTCCTTTTCAGTTATTTCTGGAAGAACCGTTCCACGACGTGGGCAACCGGAAAGTGATGACTGCTCTCATACCTCTGACAGCACTTAAGAGATTTTAGGTTCAAAAATCCTCAGGTTAGATTCTCCATTCTCACCTCTATTATTAATTTACTCACGTTCATATTTTTTACCCTCTACTGATGGCTACACTACATCTGGGCGCAAACCTAATGACTTTTAAATGTCACAAAATATTAACTTAAATTCTCCGTTCGTTCTCTGTCCGTTAATAACTGGCAAGGAGTTCGAGTTTTACCTATGTTAATTTACTTCTTTTCGTAAATACCGAAAATACACAGTACTATTTTTTGAATTGCCTTGACGACTACACTATTCAAACTGACAGAAAGTGTATAGCTGAATATAGGACCTTCTAAGCTCCTTTGATGTTTAATATTAGATTTCAAGGTTCCAGATAGTTTTGTAATCACCCTAATATTAACGCTATTTGGACAATATCAAATTCAAGGGGAGCACTCGGGTTAATGATGACCACCATCGTTATAGCTGTTTTCCCATTAAAAACTCTGTAAAAACTCCACTAAGGTAATGTAATATGTTATTAGGCTTTGTTAAGCTGAAATTTCTCATTTTTAGTTCTTATTCTTGTACATAATAGAGATCCCAGAAAGCCATTTGCAAATATTTGTATTTTTCTGGTAACGCTGGTAAACAAAATTAGGAACACTTGACTTCTTATTAAAAAAATCCTAATATCTAACCTCTGGAAACGAGTGTCAAAGATACTCTTAGTGTTTTTAATCCGATTTAAAATGACTATTGTAGCACAGTAAGTATATTCACGCTACCAAAGAGCTACGGGGAATTTCCTCTTCACTTCTCCATTAGCCTGGTAAGTTAGGCAAACAATAAGCCTTCTACTGAACTGCATTTCATACTTTTTGAAATGGTAAAATATTTTTATAGCTGATTTTGAATTATCTATAACTCTAATGCTCCATGTACAGCTAGGAAATTGCTTATTGCCATTAACCTCCTCGAACTGTTAGGTTACATCTATGACTAACATTTCGCCAATCGAACCAAAAGGTGAACAGTCAGTACTGCCACTTAAGAGCACTAGCTACAGTACTTATAGACTATGCTAAATACTTCTAATTGAGTGGATAATCTGACATGTAGTTCTTACACAACCACAAATGACTGCTCTATTAAGAATTCATTTAATAACTGGCCAAAGACTTACCATACATATTAGATGAAATCTTTTCATTTTTCTATAGGATTAAATTTTCATTCCTTCTATTGGCACTAAAAAGCAGTGTGAATTAAATTTATCGTTCTATCGGTGTAGCATCCGCCTTGGGAATTAATTTATGTAAATCACACTACTTGATGAATTAGATTCTTGATTGAACTCAAATGTAAACCTATTTGAAGAAAAATTTGTTGAAATATTTCTAATGTTAGTCTGGGATCTATTAAGATGCTACCCAATCTAGATTAAGACTGAAGGCTATTCTTGTGAAATGAGAACACCATTAATTTTGGAGAAGCCCTATTTCATCAAAAAAAAGTTTTGGAAAACGCCACAAATACATCACTATAACACAACATATCATTATTACGCTACACATTCGATCTGCTCGTTCTTGTTTGCTTGGTTTAGAAATTACCAATAAAACGGGCCCTTCAAATACCTTGGTATGTTAATATAGGGGTTTATAAAGATCAATATTCCATATAAACTCTTGAATCAGTTTAAAATTTAGTTCGTATAAGCTCAGCCAACTTTCGCCCAGTCAGGAATATGTAGGATATTGCTCATTTTTCTTCGAAATATTATTCATTAGTAAAACATTGGGAAACGTTTACATGATTAGAATGTAAATTCTCTTCCGTAAAAATATGTAACCAAGAGACCAGGTCTGCTCCGCACATATTCAGACGACATCCTAAGATTTTTCCTCTTCTAATTTTTTAAATGTACCAATTTATTAAGGATGACTCCAAAAACCAAATTTATTAAAGTCTATGCAGTTTCTTAACCTTTAGTGCGTCATATTGAATACTCTAATATTAGTAACACACTTTGTGTTGAAAATGATATAAACTGACAATGGTGAAATGTGCATCAGATTTAACCATTCTCCTATAATTTCTTTACTCTATACGATTCTCGTAAAAACACTGTGAATATCAATATTGAAGATGCTACAGGTATTCGGAGTTTGACAATATGAATAACGTGGTACGGATCAACTTTATTTTCGCAAAATACAGTGTATCATTAGGTAGTTGAGGATCCAGTAAGATCGTGTTTCTGGTAGTTTTCCTGGGACAGTGAGTGATGAAAGAAATGCCCACGTTTTTGGCTCAAACTGTCAAATTCCTAATTACAGGCATGTGTTCATCAATTATATTCTCTAATATGGTTAAAAAACCAATTATCTGATTCTTTTATAACAAACGAAATGGCAAAACATTCTTTGTGCAACAGTGATACTCATTTGATATAGAAGCGTTAACGATGTACAATAATAAAAATCGCAAACTAAACCAAGAAATTTCACAGCACATTTCTTTTCTTATTGCGTTTCATTTTAGTTACTCCCAGTGGATAAGTGGGGACTGACACTGAAATTCTCTTCTTTATTTAACATTGTTGCTAATGTCTATCTTTACCACAATTAAAAAACAAACAAAAACTATACGGCTAATCATGCTTCCGATGAAAAATAAGTTGAGTGTTATCGATATGTTTGCTTTATTCATTTATCAATACATAAAATACAATTTTACTTTTTAACCGAAAATGAATAAGTAAACAAATAAGCAATTCTCCTTTAGAACAATATAATAAGGTACTTTAAATAAATCAATGCAAACTGGTGCTTCAGCCGATCCAATAATATGGGAAATACTTTATTTAAAGAATCATGTGTTCATATGCATTCTGTGAAGTCCATTGAGTAAATTTATTCTTCTTGTTGTCTCTAGTGAATCTGTAGTGACCTGAATATATAATTTACTAGATACGGTAAGATTTGTTTTAGACATGATTTCTTCACTAAGTGTATCCAGTGTGTTTGAGGTTCCCGTAATTTCGATTGTGATTACATTACCTGGAATGAATTTTTTAAAAGTATTGTGATATAGCGTTAAATAGGGTCAAAGACATGACAGTAAAAGAAATCATTTGTAGCATTTCGTGGCTTTCATACTATTTCACAAGTCATCATTATCTATTCAGCTTCTATGAGATCGGTTGGATTAACCTTCTACTAGGGAATATTTGAAATTGTTCTGTGGTATAATTTGAATAAATCTATTTGTTTTTTTTTGTAGTTTACATCGTAAGCTGACTGTAGTTTGATAACCATTAACATTCAAGAAACACTCCTTGAAAGTGTACTTCCATGGCCCCACCATGGATTAAACCCAAAATTTTCAGCCGTTTCATCGACTGTTTAACCTTCTAACTACTGGATTGTCTATCAGTGTCTTACATTTCTATGATCAGTATCTCTTCCTTATCTTAACATCCGAATTACTTGTTTACATTTGTCGATACTTCATACAAAACACTATATACTCCATATGGCTGCTTACATTACTATAGAGACTACTCTTCTGAGTATTCATTTTTAAAATTTAAACTGAATGATTAATCGAATTCACCACATCAGATCGATAAATCAAATTAACATTATATTCAAGTATAATCTGAACAATTGATAAACTACAATAACAGATGGGTATATTTCACAAGGATGATTGTGCTATAAAATGAGTACTTAGGTTAACCTTTTCATTTAAAAATAGATTATTGTATTATTTCAGTAACTTTTATGAGAAGCAATAGTTTCCATTCATTTTTGTGTTGATTGATTTGTAATATATCGGTTATTTAACCTCTATTTTTACTGTTTTTATATTAGTTCATATGACTAGCTATCAACACTAATACTCATAATAATAAACATCTTCTTCATAGTCAAATGACGTGGATAATTGTTTATTTTTCTATCCATCTAATCTTTTAATAAGAAGTAATTTTCTTGTGGAAAAATTAAAACAACTAGTAGTGCTAACCTTAAGTGAAATAACTGTAGTTCACTGAACCAAATATAAATAAATAAACTACAATTCAAATTGCTACCATCTGTAAACATAAACTTATAGTTGTAGTCTGACACCTAATACCTAATATTAACGGATTAAAAATATCAATGTGTATAGCTAGGTAAATAAATAAATAACATATTCATGTATGTATAGAGTTGTATTGCGTGTGTGTTTAAGTAAGTATATGTTTATAAAGCGTGTATCCAGAATAACAGAATTATAAGATCCATCATAGAAAAAATAAATAAATAAACAAATCGAAACCATACGGTCACACATACATACATGTATACATACGCACACAACTACCATCGTCTTTGTCAACTGTCAACATGAACATATTATTATATTACTATTACAACTGAAAATTTAATATATTTGAGAAAACACAGAACTCTTATTTTGTTTCCACTTAAGTGAATGACTCAGACAAAATATGTTTATGATCAAGTTTTCAACATTATTATTATTATTATTATTATTATTATTATTATTATTATAACCATTACTAATGTTAATAAATATTAAACCACACCAAGGAACAAAATGTATTCATGTCATTAGAAAATAAGAATTCATAAGTTTATCTACCATCGTTTGTTACTTTTTATAGATTAATTTCAATCGATAACAATTGTATGTGCGGTTATATATGTTTAACATTAGTAAAAAAAAGGTGTTATTTCTCAAGTTAATTCAAGAAATTCAACGGAAGTAATAATAATAATGAACTGATCTTAGATCCACAAAACCCAAAACCAAAGACAATGTAATACTAAAAATAGTAATAGATAAGTTACGACAATATCATATAAATGACAAGATGTGTAGCCCATTGGCTTCAATAATGAACTAGGATTACATATAAGGTTATACGGTGAAGTTATACTAGGTGATTGGATTTTACAATCGATATAACCTGTTGATTATGACCTTAAAAATCCTATAATTATTGAGGCAACAAATTCTTATACACTAGATAATTGTACTAAACATATGTACATATAGATACCTCTGTATTAAGAAAAAAATGGTACTAATCTCATAGTTCTAGTTTTCACTGTTCGTGCTTAAATACGGTGTAAGTGACAACTAGTTTACCTTTGATTCTCATAGTGAAACAAAGTTGGGACTTATAACTCAACCGATAAAAATCAAATGGTTTAAGAACCAAGTCAGTTACCAGTTACAACATTAAAATGGTAGACTGAGAAAAAAAATAGTTGAGTGATAACCAACATCAAGCCCAAAGACCAAGATTTCATACGAATTGATACTCGCCATCAAGAGCTAACTCCGATCATTAAGGACTACTGTTCCTCCAAGAATTACAACCCATACCACACAGAGGGTTCAGGCACGAACACCAATCTATTTGTGCATCGAATAGCCATATCGGTATCACTATTGTCTATCCTGGTCTTAGAGATTAAAAAATTTGAACGACGTGTGAGAATCATAAACATGTGCAAACCGGTTTCAAAATACTTCTTAGAATAGTCCTTTGATCTCATCGCACCCTTGTGCCGCTTGAAAATATTTAGTAAATGAATTGATATTATGGATCCCTTCCTAAAATTATTTTCTGAGCCAGATAGCTATTTCTTTATATTTTCTAACTCATTATCAGTACATATACACAATCGTATATGGGAATAAATTCACTATCTTTGATTATATGACAAACAAAATACATTTAATCCATCAAGATTAAATCCAGAGGTTCTTGTTCCCAACCCCAGTCAATACATGATCAAGTTGGATCATCATCCGTAAGTATCCGTCACTAGTAATCAATCTTGAAGAGTTCCACGTCGGAGAACATCAGCTATACAGTTTATTTTCTTTTTTCAAGGGTTCTCCAGCTGATATCATTTGGTCATAACAATTATGTATGAAATGTCGAGTAACGTATTCAAATGGTCACATTATCTGTAAACAATATATGACCCACCATTTCATATTTTAAAATGAATCAATTGTAATTATTTTCTATATGATTGATTACTTTAATGATAACAACATACACATATACACACTGTCTTTGACCAAATAATAAATGAGAAATTCCCTATACCAGTTATAACCTGTTTAGTATATTGGCATAAACATCATTTAGGAAATAGTTACCATATAAGTTAGCCATAGATTAATTAAATTTTTACTGAACTTATAACAATACAATGCAAATCATTATAATTCACCAATGACAATTTTTAAATACCGTATTTTGTAAATAAATTTATGATTGTCTCCATAACTATTAGGATTAATATCAGTAATGAAAAACATTAGGTTATACAAATATACTAAAGCAGATAGTTTCTTTAATATTTTTTTAAAGCGTGTTCCATATAATATTAGAATTCTCAGTACACAAAGATGTTCAAACTACAACTAAAATAGATAGTTTCTAGATTAAAACCAATGAAAAAACCTACTTCCTACTAAGGTGATGTATCTTGTTGACAGCTAGATGTTTCGAATTAATTGATGTAAAGCCTTATCACAATTTGGACTTTGTATTTGGTGTTACTGATTGCCAGTTTAAATGGTACTGTTATAAGGATTCTAGTTGAAATGACCTAGTATCAATGTTAGAACTGTTATTGCCAAGTTCTTTTTGTCTGAGATAAGTTTCTTTAAAATCACTATTTTTATACATACTCATATTAAATAGAGAACAATTTAAAACCAAAAATTAGTGAATAGCTATTTTGTTCTATTATTGTACTATTTATTGGTATGTAGACACGGTTAAATACCATGAACAACTCATTAAGTCCGAGGACCTCAGAGAGCACAGGACTTCTATACCATTGAGGTGAATTTGAACAGTTTCTTTATTGAATTATTGACACAACACAACCGTATTCTAAAACTATCGACGAAAACTGTTGTACTAATCATGACTCATTATTTCGGTTACTTATTGTGAGTCCTTGCAAAATCGAAGGAACTGCACAGTGTTTCATGGTTCTTCAGTTATTATTCGTTCATAATTTTTCTTTAAAAATATGAATCAAAATTTAACAGGCTTATCACTGACAGTCACTTTTCTTTAACCAAGTCAACTGAATGATAATGCTCTTAAACAAAGTTCATACAAATGTAGACACTCAAAATCAACAATATAGGTAGACAATGTTCTAACTACATATTTATTGTTGTAAAAAATAGCTAAGAAAATACGATTTCATCAAGCTCAATTATATGTTGACACATAGGTTATTATGGGATTCACACAATGTTTGAATCCACAATCAAATTTATATATAATGAACCGGGTAAGAGAATACGTCACACTATTCGTTCAAGTTTTTATGATGACATAATAATAATAACAATAACAATAATAGTAATAAAATTTGTATTATGGACAGGGTAAGAAAATAGGTTACATAATTCGTTCAAGTTTTTATTATGACATAAGTAATAATAATCAAATTTATATTAATGAACCGGGTAAGAAAATACGTTACACTATTTTTTTCAAGTTTTTATTATGACATAAATAATAAGTATTAGACATGGCAACAGGTGACTTGACAAGGGAAAACTAAAAACAGAAAATGAGGCAAATCTGGTTCTTATGTAATCAAGTGACTATGCAACTACAGCCAAGTAATGAGTAATATTTACCAGTATTGTAACCAATTTGGAAAATATAAATATTATTATCATTTGTTGTTAAGTAGGGTAATAAGCAAAACAAAACGGAAAAATAAATATTTTAAGAACTAATAGATCACATAAATATAATGTCGCAAAAAATTTTAAGAAATCTATGTAATGTTTTTTTATTGAAACTCCAACTGTAACAATCATATGAAATTAGACAATAAAATTTTGGAAAATGTCAAATACATGTCATCTTCAAATAACAACAACCGCTGATATGTAAAAGGTTGAATGAATGAACCTTGTCACTACACACCAACTTCATTGACTGTTAGAAGGTGTTTGACAGTGTGGACAGGAGAACATTGTGGAAAAT